GTTTTGAGAAACGATGTACAAATGCGCTTAACACAATTGATGTGTGTATGGATTGGGATAACAGTTGTATGAGCCCCTAATAAAATGTTAAAAAATAAATAAATAAAAACAAGCCTTCGGAAACTGCTGAAATACCAATTGAAAGGTTTTAACAAACTATAAAAGCACTGGAAGCATTTACTCATCTATGTCAGGACAATATGAAGCCAGCTACTTGGCCAACTGACCCAAAGATATTCAATAGCAGTGTAAAACACAGGGAAAAACACTCAATCCCCCACAAAAGAGAAAACAATAAAAATGGACAAATGATAAGATGTTAAAATTTAACCTAACTATATTTTCACTTTCTGATGAACTCTATCTAAGGGCAAGGCTATTCACATCTCTGTGAATGGCCAAGGGTCTGAGTGAATTCCATGGAGGCTTAATGACCTTGGGGACCTCTGCAATGGATTTTGGGCTTTCATTGTCCTCCATAGCTTTAAAGGATGTTTTTTGATGGGAATGATTAGTAAAGTCGTACATTATAATGAACTGTATTATCCTTTGTCATGAGGCTAAAATGAGAAAAATCCGTTGTGGGTCACCCTCGTAGGGTCCATGATGCTGACTCTCAAATCAAGTACTTAGAACTGGGAACAAATGACTAGTTATGACAACTATCTTTGAGTCAGTTTTGATTCATGGTGTCTCCAGGGGTGTCAGGGTAGAATTGTGCTAAATAGGGCTTTCAGTGGTTGATTTTTTGAAATAGACCACCAGACCTTTTATGCTGTCTCTGGGTGCACTTGCACCTCAAACTTTCTGGTTAGCTGCCAGCTAAATTCATTGACCTTTTTGTACCACCAGGGACTCCAGATTACTAGTTACTGATTGCTTTTCTGATACATTTTTACCCTTCCAGCCTCCTGGAGCCTGTGCTAATTATATACTAGGGACTGGGGTGAGACTGCATTCCCCAGAGAATAAATAAATAAATACAAGTTACTGATCTTGTACTTGAGCTCTGTTCATTATGCTACATGTCCAAGATGAGGTCATGTTCCAATTTCCTCAGGATCAACTGGTTTTGGAGTTTGTTTTCCATGAAAAGAGCTCAATGTTTCATTGCATACCAGCTGCAGTTTATAAAGAAAAATGCAGCAGATTCCAGAGTTTTGGGAGGTGACAAAGCCTTTAATACGTGATGAAAAGGTAGGTCAAAATTGGAAAAATAAGTCCACATTCAGTAGTTTGCATGTGCAAATATGAGGAATAGGTACTATGCATGCGATCTGTTGTCTTAGGCACCACCAGAATCATTAATCTATTCAGACAATTACAAAAGTAAAAAGGGGCCAAGTCACTGGAAGTTGGTGGTTAGCCACAGGAGAAAGTAACGAAGATATAGATCCAGGGACAGGTGGAGCATAGAATGTCTATGACATACAACATATAACAGAAGCATGCATGTACTCTAACCTGAACATTTGTTCAACTGATGGTCACTTGGTAACTGGTCATTTCAGGCACAATTGTTAAACAGATGTGTTCAAAGAGCTGTACATTAAACTAGTTTTTGTGATCCCAACTCCTTTGAAACAACTAAAGTGACATGAAAGTCATCAACCCTGTTATAATAGGTTCTGGAAATTTGTAAGACAGAGTCAACCTTTCTGAGGTGAACAGAGTATTTGGATTCACACATTCCTGACAGCACAAGGCATAGGACCAGCAATCAGTCTAGGCTATAGAGGAGTCTGGAGGATCCCTCCTAACTTGGACACAAAACCTGGAAGGGCTGATACCACAGTGGCCAAGGCTAAAATGTTAGTCTTGGTTCTGGTACTTCTGCTATACCCTAAGGCAGGATACTTCTTGCTGACTTGCTGTTGCTCTAGAACCATGAGCTGATGATAAAGGTTAGAGTACTGGGAGCTGAGAGCAACACCTGAGGTTTTCTCACATGAGCAGCAGCTGCAGTCGGTCAACTCATTGAAGCCCACAGTTCTTTACTGTGGTCAGAGTGGAAGAGTACTACAGCTAGCTCTACCTGTCTTCCTCCTTGCTCGTCCATCACTGTTATTCTTCAGGCACCTTCCTTACTCTTTGTCTCTAAATCCACCTGAGTGGGCCGATTTCTCTATTTCTGTATTTAAGCTATTTCCTATAAGCCCCTTCCCCTTTCTTTACCTTTTCTCCTCATCATATCTTCCATCATGTAGATATCTTGGTCATCTACGCGCCCCCCCCCCCTGCCCTAAATGCATTGATTGTAGGTCTCTAAGTTCAGTGAAGCATAATGCAGACAAATTCTACCTTCATGAGCTCATCATCTGCTGGGCAGACAGAAGAGCAAACTGAACACTAGAGAAAAATATATCTTATAGACTCTCAGATGCACTATTGGCAGAAATGAATGCTATTGCAGGAAAGAAAGCTGGGGAAGGAGTCTCTGCTCATAGGGTATTCTTATTTAGAGGTCAGGGGACTTTGGTTAGGTGCCTGTTTCCCATTCTGAGCCAGTCTGTCCCTATCCATAAGTTGTTTCCTTGTATCCAACAATATTGTATCCTTTTACTACCTGTTTTTCTCCCTCCCAAATAAGATTCTCTTCCTTAATTGGTCACCATGAGAAATAATGATATAAATGGTATAAATGATAAACATTATATTTGTTGACTAATTTTGGCATCTCCATTTTTTAATAAAATATGAGAGACTAATTTCTCATTTAAGACAAATTACTAAGTGTAGTTGATTTATTGAATGTTATTTTTTTCTTTTAATTTTAAAAATTTATCTATATTAGAATTTAGTATTTCCCGCTAGACTATCTCAACATGAAAATGCAAGAACATTGACAGAGAAAATAAAATCAGAGAAAAAAATGTTCATGTTTTGAGAAATGATGTACAAATGCGCTTTACACAATTGATGTGTGTATGGATTGGGATAACAGTTGTATGAGCCCCTAATAAAATGTTAAAAAAAAAAAAGAAAGAAATTAAGTAGTCTTGTTTCCATTAGCAGAAACTCCCAATTGCTAAGTACACTAACATGAATATTAATGCGGGAGCCTAGCAGCTTGATTACACACACTCTTGTGTGTTTTAAAAGCCATCTTCTGTCCGTATGACCTATTATTGAAAAAGAAAGCAGAACATCTCAAGGAAACATATCTTTAGCTCCTTGGTGCTTTATCATCATGATGTTTCAAATCTGAACAATTCTAATTATATAACTGCTATCTAACACATAGCAGCTCAATTCAGAATCTACCAAGCCACAAATTCCCAGCTGTCCTGAACCATGTTAGAGAGTAGATTTTTAAAAATCTAGAAAATTGAGTTCTTTCCCCCTTAGATTCTTAGAGGGCTTTCTTTTCTCCTTTATGCACTGGCAAAATGAGTTGAAAATCAACCAGTTGCAAACAAATACGCATTTCAACTCTTCAACAACTTTTTTACAGTTATAAATCAGAATTTTTTAAAAACTATAATTATTTGCTCTCATTTTTACTTGCTACACTCTAATTAATAGAGATGGCACCTGTGATTAACAATTAAAAAGCAAATATTTGGCATGAAATAATTTGGAAACCTTTCCTTAAAAAGGTGTCAATCTGTAATTCAGGAGGAAAGGACTAACTTTGAGCACACAGTGTGAACGAATCATACTGGCAGATGGATTCTGTGGACAGTGAGTATTTGAGTACTTTCAAATAGTTTTAGCCAATTCTGTTGCACCCGCCCAACTCACTGCCATGGAGTGGATTCCCCCTCATAGCAACCCTGTGGACCAGGGTACAATGATCCCTTTATGTTTCCAAGACTGTAAACCTTTATGGGCTGCAAAAATTCTTCTTTCTCCTAAAGAGATCCTGGTGGGCTTGAATGGCTAGTCTTGCACCTAGCAGCCCAATTCACAACCTACCAAGCCACAAATTTCCAGCCGTTCTGACCATGACATCTATGCAGGCAACCTTGCCTATTGGGATGCCTCTAGAGAGTGAACCCAGAAACAGGACTCATGCTGGAATGCCAAGCCATCGTAGTGGTTGTTCATGAGAACCTCATGTTTACTAGAACATGAATGCATGCTCTAGTTAACCTATTACCAGAAATGGCTTATGGTTAGCATGTCATGGCATTTAAAGTTGTATATCAACTTGGCCATACCTCTCAGTGGCTTGGCAAACATTATGTAAACATCTTCCGTTTCATGGTCTGAAAGGAGCAGTCAATCAGTAAAAAGGTGTTTTATTGGGGGTGTGGCCCATATCCAATATATATAGATCCTCTTGCAAATCTCCCTCTCTTTCCTTCTTCACCCTGATTCTGACTTGTCTCTTCTGACTTCCAGTTCTTGAGATGTGAGACAGAAGCCTGCCACCTGGCTGCAGATTGTGAGATTCACCAACGCCTGCAATCTCACAAGCAAATAACCTTTCATCTGATTTCCCAATCTTGGATTCATCAGTCCCTGAAACCATGTGAATCAGGCGAAGCCTGAAACCTGACCCACAGATTTGGGTTTTCTCAGTTTCCACAAGTGTGTGAGCTTTTGATCCTCTGAATAACCCAGTCTGACACACATGCGGATGAATCCACATGGAAAGACTCAGATATTGTGCCAAGCAATGCAGTCTAGTGGTGGATCACTTAATAGTCTCAGTTTCTGATAGATAATGAACAGGGATAGCAATCCTTTATTCAAATCATCTTGTTACATATATGGGTTTGATTTTATAAAAACTCTTAGAATTCGGAAATAGGTTAAACTTAGTGATGCATTTACACGTAAAGTGAGGAGTTCTCACTTTGTGTTCTTCTCTGATGACACTCCATATCCATCAAGCATGCTAAGACATGGGGCAAGAAAATCAATCCACCACCACAGATTTCATTCTCCTAGGCCTCTTCTCTGACTCCCAGCATCCTGAGATTTTTGTTGCTATTGTCCTCTTAATTCTTGTTGTGGCCTTTACTGGAAACTCCATCCTGGCCTTACTCATCTGTGGGGATGTCCACCTCCACACACCCATGTACTTCCTGCTCAGCCAGCTCTCCCTCATGGACCTGACGCTCATCTCCACCACTGTCCCCAAGGTGGCGGCTGACTTCTTCTCAGGACACAGAAGTATCTCTCGCATTGGCTGTGGTGTCCAGATCTTTCTTTACTTGATGCTAGGAGTGGCTGAGTGCGTTCTCCTGACCCTCATGGCCTTCGACAGATACTTGGCCATCTGTAGCCCCCTGAGATACGCAGTCTTCATGACCCCCAGAGTCTGTATGCAAATGGCTGCCAGCTCCTGGGCTGGGGGTGTTCTTGTCTCTCTAATGCACACAATTTATGCCATGCACTTTTCTACCTGTGGCTCCAGGAAGATTCATCATTTTTTTTGTGAAGTCATGGCCCTTCTGAAACTGTCTTGTGAGGACACGTCCACGTATGAGAAAGTAATATTGGTGTCAGGCATTGTTTTCCTTCTTATTCCTTTTGGGCTCATCCTGACTTCCTACATCCTCATCTTCCTCGCTGTTCTCCGCATGAACTCCCCCGAAGGCAAGAAAAAGGCTCTGACCACCTGCTCCTCTCACCTAGGTGTGGTAAGCCTCTACTTTGGTCCAGCCATGATTATCTACATGACCCCTGGTTCCTCTCTTCCTTCAGCGGTGGACCAGCGGCTCTTTGTGTTTGATTCCATCATCACTCCCATGCTGAACCCCCTAATCTACAGCCTGCGCAACAAGGAAGTAGCGGGGGCCCTAAGGAAGGCACTGGGGACAAAGGTGATTGTTAAACAGCACAGGAGATGATAGTTTTAAGTTTCAAAATACCAAACTACATTCACTGTCTTCAAGTTTCCAACTCATAGTGACCCTGTGGGACAGGGTAGGCCACCCTGTTGCTTTCTGAGACTGTGGCTCTGTATTGGAAAAGAAAGCTTCATCTTTCTCTCCAGGAGCGGTTGGCACTTTCAAATAGCTAACCTCGAGGTTACCAAGCCAACATGTAACCAACTGTGCCACCAGGGCACCTTACTTAAAACCCAATATTGTTTAAATATAATTCACTACCGGCCGGACACCCATCTGAAGACGTACTCATTTTATCATCGCAATGACCCCATGTAGTAGTAGTTGTTGTCAGGTGCCATCAAATCAGTTTCAATCCATAGTGACTCCGTGAACAGCAGAAGGAAATAAATATTGCATGGGCCAGTGCCAGCCTCACAATCGAACACATTGGCCATCCACTGAAATGCTGTTAATTCCCCAAGCCTTCAGCTAGATCTATCAGCTCTTCTCTGTGTCCACGGAACTCATCTGTGTCTCCTGCACAGCCAGTCCCCAACTCTGTTCTCACATGCCCATCTGTCTCCACTAGGGGCAGGCCTTTTCCTGAGAACAGAGACTACCGTCTGCATGATCCCTAGGCGCCCCACTGATTTTTGTATTTTCAGATGGCAATAAATAATTTGTTAAACAGAATTTCTTGAATTACTTATAGTATTTGTCTACTGTTACACAGAATCTTTCAGCAAATCTAAATTCCTAGGCCATGTAAAAATTTACTTCTATGTATTTGTTTCCTAGGGCTGCAAAAATTCTTTTCAATTGAGGTTTTCATCTGTTTTATTTTGTTGCTTTGTGTGTGTGTGTTTCTCTATATAAAATCCAGGATAGATAAATCTCTAGAGAGTAACCAGAGTAATAGTTCCTTAGGAGTATGGCAGGGGAGGTTGCAGAGAAATGGGGTTCTAATAACAATGAGTACAAAAATTAAGAAAATATTTTAAAACTTCTTGTGGGTATGATTATACAATTTTTAATACAATTGAGCCATTGAATTATATTATATGTGAATTACATGTCAATAAAACTATTTACAAAATGATCTAAGTATCTAACCCCAGGAAAGTACTGATATGAACTTCTATATATTCATTAAGGGAATATGATACAGTTTCAAAATACTTAATTACAGAAATTCTAGTTATATAATATGTATATAATATGACTTAATATTTTACAAATAAATACAGATAAAATGCAAAACAACCACTACCAGAACAACAAAACACACCACAAAGTGAATGGTCCATAAGAACGGAAATTTACCGTCACAATTTGGGATGCTAGCTTGAATTCAGGGTGTCAGCAAAGCTGTTTTTTTCTGAAGACGCTAGAAGATCTTCTCCCACAACAACATGGTTGCCATTTGACAGCACCAGACATTCATTGGCTTATAGATGCATGTTCACATGGTCTCTCTCACTTTGTCAGTCTCTCTGTGCCTCTTCTCTTCCTTTATGCTAACTTAACTGATAACATCTTAAAATATCCCATAGCCACACGGGGCCATGTTCACAGGTATGAGAAAGTAAGGTATACACTTAGCATTTTAGATGGCACAATTCAATTTTTAATACATGCCACTCTTTAAAAAATAATGGCTTTAATTGTCATTTTAAGTATATGATAAGGGAAACATGTGCTTTAATTAAATATACATCATACCAGTGATGCTGGCAAGGTTGAAGGTTACTCCTAAAATGTTAATAGCCATAAAAATCAGTTTGTACATGAAACAAATTAAAAACAAAACAAGTTCATAGTGGTTTATATCAGCAGTATGCATTTTATGACAATGACATAGATTCATGTACAGATTCAGAGCACTCTAGGACTCTCTTTATGCCCTAAAGAAAACACATTTACATTATTCACGGGTTGTACTAAATTGGGGGGGGGGGAAATCAACTGTCTCTGTATGCCTGAGACAGGGCAAACTGTCCTGAGGTGCAAGCAGCTATAACGCCATCATTCAAGTTGCTTGCAAAAGGACCAGAGAATTAAAAAATCAAACAAATTATTTCTCTTGAGAGTGGAGAGGATCTTTCATATTTGCTGCTATAACCAGCAAATGATATTCAGTAATCAAAAATGGAGGGAGGGCCTACTAACATAACAGATCTATTTGAATAAGTTGACCAGTACAGTTTCAAAAAGGAAAGTTATGTACTCTATGTTACAAGTCCCAACTAGGTAGTGTCAAAAGAACATCTATTTCTTGGCTTGCTTTGTGATCAGTGTGACCCCTTGGTGGTGTGACAGGTCTAGTGACGGGTCTAGTGGCATTCGGCTTCTTTTTCTCAGCCGGCTTTAAAATCTGAAAAGAGCACCTCAGCGTCTCATCCACACTTATCACGGCACCAGCATGGTCAAACTCTCCACAATAATTGGGGGCAGAAAACAGAGTGACCATGCCTCTTGGCAAAAAAAATTCATATCCATCTTCAACCACCTGATGGGCTCTACAAATTAGATCCAAATCATGCTTATGAAGAAATTTTGCAACCACTTCCGCACCAAATGTGAAGGACACTCCTCTGTCATTTTCACCCCAGCCTAAGGCATCTTTATTGGAGTCAGACCACAAAAGATCACGAAGGAGACCTTGATCAGGTGGATCAGTTGGTCGCATAATTTGCCCTAATTCGAATCTGCTCCATAGATTGAAGATCTGCTGAGAAACCTCCAGGACAGCAGAACATTTTCTCCTCCACGATGGTGGCTGTCGGCAAACAGTTAAAGCAGTCTGTAAACCTTTCCCAGAGTTTAATATTGTATCTTTTTTTACATTCATCATAAAACCCATAAATTCTATTGATGCTGGCACATTCATGGTTCTCTCCGAGAAGAAAAAAGTTCTCTGGGTATTTTATTTTGTGGGCTGTAAGAGGCAGATCGTCTCCAAGGGCTGCTTCCCCCGTCTACGTAGTCCCCAAGAAATAGGTGGAAAACCACCGTACTCAAAGAGTCGAAGCCAATCATAGTATAGCCCATGGATGTCACCAGGTATTTTGAGTGGTGCTTCAAGTTCTAGCAGGAGAGGCTGCCTGAGAAAGATCTCC